ATCTCTCTTAGCTTCGCCGCTGGAGATATCGCGAGTAAGTTGGAATACCTACTCTGCGAAATATCCTCTCTCGGAAGCGGGAATGCATGCGAGAGGAGATACGCGTGCTTCTCCTAAGTGGAATAGATATACAGGTTGATTCACGTGCCGACTCAAGTGCCTCTTCTCTTCGTATCCTCTTTATTTCCTCGAAAATTGTATATACGATATTATCTACCGGATGACTAAACGTATTTTATAATAAACCTTTGTTAGAGCAAATTCGAGCTAGTTAGTCGTAAGAAATAAATTGATTGAATACATAAAAAAAGGAAGTAAAATGAATCGGAGAAAAATCAAAATATAAGATGAAAAGCGACCGTATGAATCGTCCTGTATAGGTGGGACCCGATCGAGCCCAGGTGTGGCTTACGCACACACTCTTTCTCTCGCTCATAAAGGCGCATAAACAAACACGTACACGTGCCGAGTCGACTCGCTCGCGCTCTCGCGAACGCAAACCTTCCGAGAGAGTGTCTATAGGACTATAAATAGATTGGAGCTACCTGTAAACGCGCAAACCTGCAACCGGGCTGTACCTTCTAAGCTGGATCGTCTTATGTTAGTCGGATACCTACCTACCACCACCTTTTTTACTCTTTTTAAGTCTATCGGTTAACTGTACCTACTATCCGAGAGAAAGAGAGGCAGCAGTTTGCAATTAACCGAGGAGTACTCCGCTTGGTGCGGTTAATAAACTATAGAGAGATGTGCACCCGCGCAGCATCCTTGACATGGCCACGATGAGTGCAGGCAGCATCCTTCGAGCACCACCTAGACCGCATTCCGGAGCGCGCGTGACAACCGTGCCCTGAGATCTTCTCCGATCTACTAGCACACCGCAACTATTACTACTGCTAGTGCCGTTTGATTCTCAATCGAAAGGAAATCGGGAGCAGGAAACGAACGGCTACTCTCCCTCTCCCGTTGCTTTCGATTTCAGCCACCGGTGATCGTTTCCGGTTGCTATCTACACATCTACCTATCTATTTGTCCGTCTGCTCGCTCGCTCGCTCGCTCGCTCGTTTTACCCCTTTGAACGATTATTCGTGTTTCTATTCATCGATCATGAAGTCGTAGAACGTGGTCAAGGCGAAAGAAAATGAAAAAAGATATCGACAAATAATACGCTTAGAGTCTATTTGATCGATCTAAGGATGCAGCTCGACGACGTACAAATGATGTGGAAATAGAAACGGTATTAATACCGATACGAGATGACATCTGTTTATGGACCAATTACGAGTATACGGATCGATCTCATCGCGAGAGAGTGCCATTTCTCGATTGTTATCTTTAACGCTTGATCAGCCCGCCGGAACGTTACGATTATTGGAGCTAGACCGAATCGTTCAAATATCCACCGGGTACCTAACGTACTCTTTAATGTTGGGATAGCGATACCAAATCGAAAGACAACAACAAAAAAACAAATAATAATAATAATAAAATAAACAATAATCTAAAATAGAGGAACGGTTTTAATTTCTTTTTAGAAAAGAGTTTCCCTCGTGGACTGTCCTTTACCTTATCTCCCCCCCCCGCCATCCTCTCTATCTCATTTCTATCTTCTCGATTCACGGATTTCGTACGCTTCGATTACGCGCAATTATCGGGATTTATCGATTTTCTCGGCAATAGCCACTAGCCCGTTCCCATGGAACGTAAAACGAACAGAGAAAATCTACAGATTCATCTGCTAATATATATATATGCTATATTATACGCTTTAATGTATATATATATATATATATATATTTGTATAGGAAAGGAAGAGAAGATGGGAGGATGAACTAAGATTTTGTAGCCGAGAATCGGAGCATAAACAAGCGATCGAATTAAATGCCGACGAGGGCCGTTAGATTCTCAAAATGGTCGATAATATTTTGTATCCAATCCATCCATCCATCCATCCATTTTCATCGTGGAAAACGTCGCTGGATATATATCCGATCGTAGTAGTTTGGCTTTCCGAAGTAGATCATTACCCAGACCACATTCCAATCTGGATATATAACGAGTAACAGCGCATAATAGTGCGGTAAAGTTTCCAATGCCAGCAAACACATACGTTAGAGTGTGTGTGTGTGTGTGTGAGTTGGAAGTTAGAACGAAAAGTCCGAATGTCTCGTTTTCTCGTTAGGCAACGGGAAAACGAGATTCGTGCGAGCATTATCGTAATAATTGCCGCCTCAAAGATGCACGCCATGAATTTTCATTAGCGACAAGATCGAAGATTCATTCGATCGAACGGTAGCTCGATGCAAGATTTACCCGCTCCCATCCCCCCGCTCCCATCCCCGTTCTTCTCGTAGAACCAGTCGCGAAGCCTGGAACATTGAACGATTCGATCGATCGAAATTGAGATATCGCGAATCGATTTGCAGCGAACGACAAGATTTCTTTTATTCTTTCTTCCCCTTCTTCTTCTTTTTCTTCTATCGTAAAAAGCTGTAAACCGGGCGGTAGGGGCGGCGCTTTCGAACGATCGGGGGAGAAAATGGCCTATTTAGCATTAAACTGGTTCGACTTCCTGCCCGCGAAACCTATAATAGCTAACTATAATAGCTTAACTATACTAAGCTTATATATATTTTACTTAGAAATAAATTTGGAAAATAAAGGAATAAACAGAGGTACAACACAGAGGTACAACACAGAGGTACAACACAGACGGTAGTCGTTCTAAGTCAACGCGAAACGTCGCCACGGGAATTACGTCGATGTCCAGCTGAGATAATCTAAGACGATTGACCAAAGTTTCCGCGCTAGGATGACGTACGATATTTATGATCTATGTCGTACACGCTCGTGACATTTGCGATACGACTTTAATATCTTTCTATCTTTTCTTATCGACCTAGTGATCCTAAAATCTTCAACGAGTAAATATTATAGATTCAAAATAATGATGAAAATAATTTGTCTACGATAACCGTTTTTTGATTCCACCCTTCCAATTGTTTGCTCGTTGAATTCAAACGTTACTTTTATAAGAAAAATTGTAGACTACGTTTAACGAACACCACCTGACGCAACCAACTGCCCTTAAGAAGAAGACAGTTGCCTTACCGAGGGGTTGACTTTGGCGGAAAAGAAGTTAAGGGGGTTGCTAGCATACCCTCTATAAAAGGCAGATGCTTTGAAGAAAGAAACGATTAGAAACGAATTCCTACCATCGAAAATTATGTTCGCACGAACAAACAAAAAAAAAAGCCAAAATAACGTTGGCCGAAACGAAATTCTTTATCGAAAGATCTTTCGGTTGAATTTGTTGATGAGACGATAGTAATTCTCGTGTCGACGATTCAACTTGTCAGATATATCATATTATCTATCTGAGCAAACCCTAGCCTGTTGTTTCGACGATCGGAAATATGGATATTATAATGATCGTATTCCGTGATGATGTCACGAATTTACGCCATCGTTCTTCGTGAGAAGTAAAAAAAGCTAAAAGAATCAAAAACAAGTAAAGAAGGAAGAATCATCAGAGTTACGATCTACATACGTGCATGCATATAAATAAAAACATACCAATGTGCATTTCTACATTGTAAATTAGAAATCGTTCGTTAAGGATCAAAATGAATCATTTTCAATATGATTTCGCTTGCGTCCATCTTTTCGAAGAGGAGTTGTTCAACGTGTGTGTTTAACGATGATTAGAAAAAGAGAGCGCAACGTCGGCCTTGAAAACTTGAGCGAACTCGTACGAAATATCCCGAGGAGAATCGTGCGAGTCAGGTATTTACAGATAGGAAAACAGGAGGGTTAGAGGGAGGAGAGAGAGATCAAGAGAGGAGGAGGAAGAAGAATAGACGAGAAAGTACGACGTGGCGCGGCGCGGTGCGGCGCAGCACGGCGCGGCGCGACGGCGGTAGCGAGCTAACAGCATCCGCGCTTTACAACTGCGGATAATAATTGCTCGATAATAATCGTTCCTTCTACTGTAATTATATTAAATCGATGAAAGAGGAGGGTGAATAGGGGAAGATTCTCTGTACGAGGGTATTTTATTGCATCGACGTAACAAGCAAAACAACAATCACTTTTCGTTCAAGTTATAGTTTTTAAAAGTTAAATGAAGAAAAAATAAAAGGAACTTATTGTTTAATTACAAGGACTGACGAAAAATCAGTTGAAAAATCATTTCAAAATACTGTCCATTTTTGTTAGCACTTTTTTTCTACTTGAGAGAGAGAGAGAGAGAGAGAGAGAGAGGATCATTCCCGGCAGAGTTTTTGCGTGGATCGCTCGTCGGTCATTAGCTACGCCGGCGGATCTATCATTATTGCGTACGACCGACTATCTGTAATTGGCGAATGTAAACACAGAGTATGCGTCTCGACTCTACGTACATACATACATACATACGCGTGTCCGGCCGTTGCTGTACGTGTAAGCACGTGTGCGTAACCCCTGCGTGCACGCAAGCAGCAACAACGTTGTTCTCTATTCGGGATTTATCTATGGTTGACGCCCGACGTTTCTTTTTCTTTTTCTTTTTTTCTTTTTTCTTTTTTCTTTTTTCTTTTTTCTTTTTTACAAACCTGTTTTATCTATCCTTCTTTGAAAATGCGATAATTACAAGTTTTTGGGATGAAATTTGACTGGATCGCTAAAAAGAAATCTCGTGAGAAAGAAAAACTGCAAACGGGATCGCAGCATTATTTTGAGATTAGAAGAGCTCGGAGTTGCTTGGAAAGAGGCAAAGTTAATGAGTATAATTGAACGTCGCGAGTCAGTGGTACGACAGCTTCGAATTATCGCGTCGGTGTCACGCGATGCTTGCAAGTATAACGGCATTAAAGCTGGTCAGTTGAAATATTCTCGCGTTTTCTCTTACTACGAAGAAAATGGAGAACTCCGATATCGAACGAGACAAACTTTTCATTTTGATTAAAAATACATTTTATTCTCTCTTGTAATTTGTATATGTAGATAAAGTTAAGCTTTACCTGTTAACGCGATTCCACCAACCCTAAACGTTGTCTTCGTAGTTCTCTTAATATCCCACCGGTATCTTCTATTCGCGCGTTGAAGTCTCTCGTCGTTGGTAAGCTCGTACTCACTTTAACACCCCGGTGCACGGTGCACGGTGCAACACTTCACCGTTCTTGTCTTCCGTCGCACAGCTCACAGTGCTGCTGCTCTTCTTTCATACCCGCACAACGAAACACTAAAGTTTATCGAATCGAGATACGGAAAGAATACTCTTCGATGGAAAGAAACACAAAGAAAAGATGCTTCTTTTGAAGGAGGGATGATAGGAATCAACCCCTTGTCATCTCGTTATCGACAAATGACACAGCAGGATTATATTCAAGGAATTTGGTGTTGCGGTCAATCAACGTAGATCAGGTGTCCATTAAGAGTGTCCGGCTCGTTGGTCACCGTAGCGCGAAACCTTCCGGATCGGTGATCCCGGGTTGATCGCGTGGCTGGACGCGTGGGTTCTCCCGAGGGTGGTAGTGGTGGTGATGGTTGGGGGGGATGTTGACGACGTATCGACGTGGAAACGACGCGGAAACGACGACGAAGCCGAGATCGAAAAGTGCCTCCTTCCTCAGTTGACCGTCGCAACGTGTCTCGCGTGGACTCGACGACGGTAGAGTAGTGGGTCCTTCTACGGGAGGAGCACTTTTGACAACGTTAGGGTTGAAAGAAAGGGCAATTAGGAACAATTGACAATTCGGAGAGGATTCAGTTTGGATTTTGGTTAAGCCCGCGAAGAGATCGACGTACGTCCTCTAGAATCTAGAATACTACACGTTCGTCGTTGTACCTCGTGGAGCGTGCAGCAGGAGGCGTGCTGTCCCGGACTGGACTAGTCTGGGCCCCAGGAGTAGAGAGGGCCGGTCGCGCTTCACCTCCGCTTCGCCGACCTCCCTCCACTCGACGTCGACTTCCTCCCTCCCTCAAACTCCTCAAGCCCGTCCTTCTTCCTTTCTCTCTCTTTCTATCTCTCTTCCCCGCTGGCACCCCGCTCTGCCACCCCACTGCCACCCTCTCTCTTTCCGTTCCTCGCGAACACGATAGAAACGTGTGCCACGACGAAACGCGGCTTTACCTATCTATCTATCTGTTTGCTCCTACTCTCTCTCTCTCTCTGTCTTTCAAAATCGGCCTTCTCTTTCTCTTTTTCTCGACTCACTCCTACTACAACGGCCCCTCTCTTTTTTCCCTTTCCGTGCGACGCCCCCTTCTTTTCATTTCTTTTCTTTTCTTACCTTTTTTCTTTTTCGAGAACCCGCCAAATTTGTCCTCGAATTACTCTTAATTATCCTTTTATTCGTAACTCGCAGAAGTAAGCGTTCACCGTTAATGACAACGATAAAGGATCGGTTGGATCCTCCAAACACGTATCGATATAATAACTTGACGAGAAAAAAAAAACTTAGATTGAAATTGCCCGTCCACTCGAGTCGAGATTAACTCTTATCGTTTTAGCTGTAATAGTCGATTAACTATTCAACTAATCCTTGCCAACCAACGGATATCTCGAGAACGTTTGTAATTACAAACTGTCTCTATGTTCTTCAATCATTTTTCACAACTGTGTAGGTACCTATATATATATACGATATCTCGAGAATCTAAATTTAAATTCTCTCCAGTTCTCGAAAGATTGCTCTTCAAGTTACGTAAGACGATGAAAAGATAGAACGTAGATTTTTGTAGAAAAGAAAATCGTTACTAAAATGATAAATAATGCATGTCTTAATCATTAGGTCGAACAGAGGTAAACACTTCAATCAGATTAATATAATATATTCGTCCCCCTTATCACACGTTCGCCAGATGCTTATAACAGTTGATTTGAAATTTACTTTATGCTTCGATATATAAATAGGATAGATCTGCGTATATTTCGTGAGATTAAAATTAGGACTATAAGAAAGATGAGCGTGAAAAATCTTATCGAAAAATATTGTTCTAACCCGTCCATCGTGGGCCAGAGTTCACACCGTCACCGTTACGCGGAACCAAGCGGAACTACGCTTCCTGCACAGAACAAAACTTTGTTCCCTCCCTTCTTTCTCCAACAAAATTGGACTTTGGGCAAACTTGTTGCTTCTCCCTGACGTTAGCATACACGGTCTATGTGTACAGGTATTTTACGTACACGTGTATAGGTGGTGTCTCTACGTGCTTCGAGTAAATCAACGCGTTTTCATAGGATCGAAAAAAGAAAGCAGCATAGGCGTGTGAAATGGATAAAAACGGAAAGGGAACATTTTAATAACTGCCAGGATATGACCGACGAAAAATTTCTTTCTATGAATATACTACATATGTAGGAAAATAAATTTATCGAAGGATAACTAATGGTTATTATAGGGGAATAATAAATGAATTGAATTCTCAGCACATCCAAGCATCCAAACGGAAACTTTTCTATTATTTTTACTTGAACATTTAGCAATTTTCTTGATCTACGAGATAGACAGGATACTACACTAAGTAGCAATAAATAAACATGGTTATCTCTATTGTCTAAAAAATAAAATCTCTTGTAGAGTTGATTCTGCGTGAAATTCCATGTTACTTACGTGAACATAAGTAACAAGAGTTTGTTAATAAAAAATAATCGTTAATAATGACACTATAGGCAATCCGAATAGGTATACTCGATGGGATCGTAATTCATCATGATGTTTATTACGAAAATTCAACGACGTTGAATTACATTAACCGTCTATGCTTGTACGATATCGTAAATATCGGTACCACGCCTTGTCGTGTGCGTTACTATCCGTAGTCAATATTTTACCAGGTTGCATAAGTACTCGTAACTCTTGCAGGATTGTATCCGCACGTGCAAAGAGAAGAGGACTTTAACCTTACTCCTATTTTTATTTTCTAATCGTACAATAACGGCTAACAAAATATATCTCATCTTATGACAAAACATTTCTATTGGGTAAAAAAGAAATGGAAAAAATTGATCGGACGTCAAGGGTGAATTTAAAAAGACAGGACGCGGATGCCATTAACCCAGGACCAATGATCTATCCTGGCGGATATTACAGGGTGAACTCGATAGTCGAGGGAATTGTAGAGGTATGTATGTATGGGGGAAACGTTGCACCTTACGCCAGGAGAGTCAGCAAACAGGTGCCACAGCTGTTTCAGCAAGTGCAACGAATAACGAACATAGACATGCGGACATTAGAATTGCCGCTGCAGCTTGTGCGAGTTGTAACGCCATCGCTCTAAAAGGGGTGCATAACTATTTAGGTAAAGTAGCTTGAGTGAGTACTATCCAAGTACGTTGATGTGTGTCGACCGTTGAACCGTCGGCCCGAGTCGAACGTGTGACTTCTCGCTAAAACTTCATTAAGTATTCCAACGACATGCCGATAAGAAAATTTCGTGGCGAGCACCAACTTTGTTATCAAGCTTATCGATTATCTTCAATTTGCCTGCATCTAAAAACCGTCAAAGGGATAAGCAATAATTAATAAGCGTTCAAACTTATCGTCTAACTAAACTAACTAACTCAAACTAAAGTCTTGAAGAAGTAAGAAAAAGCGCGGGAAGCACATGGCTCTCCGGTGGTGGTACTTAAAATAGGGGGTGAGAGCTCGATCAGCTGTTACTCGTCTGGGTTGCCGAAAAGGCAACGGTTAAAACTCCCTTTCGTCCTTGTTCGCGAAGGAGAGAGCACATGGACGTCGTAACCCTCGAAGACATGCATGCGGCATCTTTTCCCTCTTCTACTAAGCCTATATTCTTATTGGTAGCATACATTATTATCGTAGTAACGGCCGTGCGCGCGTCAACGGTCCCGGGCACCTGACGCCTTATAACGAGGGATCCTACGTAAATGGGCGGGGCCCATTCTCGTCCCTTTCTCGTCCCTTTTCGTCACGATCACGTCGCCAACTTCTTACTTTTTTCTTTATCTTTTAAAACATATTCGCACCAATTTTATTTCAAATTTCAGTTTAGCGCGTTTGGTGCACGTGTGCAAGTGAGAGCCGATGCAAAGCCGATGCAAAACCGATGCAAAGCCGATGCAAAGCCGACGCAAGAAACGCTGAAGGCGCTGGGCGTTGCAGGACGCACGAGTCGAGAACTAGGAGAAAATAGAAGAAGCCCTTGCGAGTTGTGGAATAAGTCAAGAAGATAAGGTTTATTTCGTGTAGAAGAGAGGATAACGCACCTCTTAAGTCGATAAATTATATTTCGCATGATCGATGTTCCTCTTAGCGATTTACAATTATCTTTGTCGCTCGTTAAAACGGTAACTATGATATGATAATAGGGGAATAAATGACAGTTGGATGGACTGACCTATAAGTTAATCTATAGCTAAGACTAATAATGATGCAGATAAAATTCAAGTTATAAGTATATAGACCTATTACAAGAAGATGATCATGATAGACGTATAGAATTCCACAAAACTAATTTTCTTTTGCTTGTATCTGCATATCCTTCCTATCCCTGGGAAGGATTTTTTAGTCTGTCCTTTGATGCCGATGATGACGGTGCATTTTCGAAAAGGATATCCTGTGATTTTCAGTGGCACACGGTAGTGAATATGATCGATCGAATGAAAGGAAGAAAAAGCAGAAAAGAAAGATCGTAATCGTTTGGAAAAACAATTGTCGAAAGACCGAAAGACGATGTAATTGTTGGGGTCAACGAGCATACACATCGGCCCGAACTAAAGCAGGTGCGAGAGACCGTCTTATTCTACCGGAACACGGTAGGGTAGGTAATGTCTTTCAGGAGAGAGGAGCTCTACTTTTTTTTTTTTCTTCTTTTTATCGACCATTTGCATCGACGATGACTATGTAGGAAGCTCTTGAAATATTATAAATGACGAGAGGTCGAAAGGTCTAACCTTCTTCTTCCTCTTCTTGTAAGATACTATTCTTAAGAGATCGATAGGCTTCAACAACAAAGTTCATGCTTCCCGAGCAAGAGCTTATAATCATCGGATTAAATTTTGAAAGATCTTGATTCGTTCGCGCATACGCGTGAAATCCTTTCACGGTATTTTCATGTTCTTTCGGCACCGGATTACGCATTTGCTTCGAGTCAACTATAATGAGAAAATAACGCGAAATTACACACTCCGATTGGAGACGCTTGGAAAGGTGATGGACGACCGAGGTCGAACATTCTAGGATAAAAAAAAAACAAAAAAAAAGCCAAATTTTTCTATGCTATTATTGCGCGTACCCCTAACGAGGATGCAACCCGACGAACGACGAGCGACGAGCGACGAGCGACGAACGACGAACGAAGAACTCGTGTGTTCGTTTGTCGCGTGGCTGCCGAGGGGTTCGCGACCCTGTCGGTCGGTCGGGTCCGGCCGATAGTGGGCCGGTGGTGGGAGAGAGAAAAGAAAGAAGAGAGGCCCGGAGGGGCCAGAGAGCAACGGCTGCACACGGGGCCGCGGGTGATTACGTCGCCTGTCGGCGCGGAACTGTCTCCTCCTACCCAAGGCGCCCACCGTGCTGCGATTGGCCAGGCTCCCTGCCGAGGAAACGTATCCGGCTCTCTTTCGTGTTTCACCTTACTACGCTACTACTACTATCCTTGCTCTATCTACCTATATAGTTATTTCTACATGTTCACCATCGCACACATCTCTACAAGAAAGAAACACCGACCATTTCTTTTTCGGTCCCACTGCCAAATGATTTTTCGAAGACGAGTGCCAACAGCACGCGACCACCGTTACTCCGGATCCTGGTAATCGATGCAAAACGATCTACCAATTCATCATTTGATTTATCGAACGGCTATTCCAACGATACGAAATTGATTACCTCGCCAATCCGGTCAAAC